GCCCATCGCTCTCGCTCAGCACAAACCCCCAAACCGTCCCAACCACCATGAACAATGTTGCGTGAACAATTCAGCAGCTACTTTGTAAATGATAAAGTTGCTGTTTTCTTGCACGGTAATTTGGCATCAGTCACTGCAAGCAATGGGGAAAAGACCTAAAGGTCACCTCATCCGTTCATCTGCAAACACCGTCGTGTCATTAATCCACGTCCCTCCTCTGAGTCCAAACTCAGAGACAGGCTTTGATGGTTTTAATGGTTTGGAATATCAAGACAGAAAACTGGTAAGACTACCTGCCAGTTTTCTAGTTTAGTTAAAAATGCTGGTCTTAAGGGAGGGAAAACACCGAATTTAGTTCTACAACAGCAAGAGTTTCAGTCTTTCCCCTTTAGGAAAAGTTGCAGGATCCCAGACGTGAGTCACCTCTTTGGAAGAAAAGGGTGGAATATTACAAATATTTTTGCCCAGGGGCTTCACCAAGAGGTGGGAGGATTAATGGAAAGTGTCTGGTCATGCCATGCATCTCCCAGGCTCACTATTTCCAGCCTTGCCCATTTGTTTAGGAAGCTGTGAGTTCTGTTGGAGTAGGGATGCTTAGGCAGTTTCTACTGTTCTGTTCCCAGCTGCAAATAGCACTGTGCAGTCCAGTTCAGCTGTAGACCATGGGCTGATAGCCTGAATTATTATGTTGGGAATTATTTTCCCTATAGCTCAAAGTAATTAATTGACTCACATTACCTGCTTTAGTTCTGTTTTTTTTCATCAGCTTTAAACAAACCCTAAACATTTTGGGGAAGCTTTCACAGTGAGGATTATAAACATCTCTAAAGCAAGAAGATCCTTGTTAGGAGGCATTTTCCTCTAGTTCAGTCTGCTAAATATGTCTGAAAACAACCAACAGAACAGTAAGATCTTCTTGACTGACAAGCAGAAATTATTTACCTGCTTAACGGTTGATGGAAACTTGTGTTCCCAGCAGTCACAAGAGTTAGTTATAAAGCCTTGCCTCAGGTTAATAAAACCCAAAGAAACCCCACATCCTCAAAACTTTAGACTATATGGCAAATCACTGTCATAGACAGAGATGTAAATACAAACCTCTGTATTTTGAGGGATCTTGGAGCCAATTTCCTAAATTACTCAGTGCCCACAGACCAAAGCCAACTGGATAAAGGAAAAAGTGCTCCTTGTTTTCATCACTGGAAGAAATACGACTGGGCTGAGGGGAAAATGAGACTGGCACATTAACTATCACTGTTAGGAAAAGGACTACCAGTCTGATTGCAACTCCCATGGGATTCAGTCAACTGCCTGCAACCATGAGATTGGCACTGCCTAAATTCCCAGCTTTCCAGAAGGATGAAGCTCGCTCCCTATTCATCTTTGCCACCATCTGAAGAATTAAGAGAGTGGCTGGCGATGAAGAGCCGATCAATCCTGTTTATTGTGACAAGCACGGCTGTTATAAAACAGGCACTCTTGGAGCACAGGGTAACCTCCCCCACGCTTTTCCCTTCTTCATTAAACACTTGTTGGACATTCAGCTCAGGTCCCCTGAGACACCTCTGGAGAAGTGCTGATCCCAGAAATAAATCCAGGTATGGATCTACATGTACTGCTGTGCTCACAGCTGAAGTCATGCAGTTATTCCTTAAAGAATGGCTTTGAAAAGTCTTCAGGAACACCCAGCTGTCTAGAAAAACAGCTAACAGAGATATTTACCTTTGATTTTGTCAACATTTGGTTCATCTGAATATTTGCCCTTTATGGTGGAATGGCTGAGGACAGGGAGCAGTTAGGAAATTTCTGGACCAAGGGCAGCTTAAGCACAGTCAGTACGAAATAACTGTCAAAAATAACACTCAAAGTTTTCAAAGGGGCTAAGGAAGGAAGGAATGTGGGCTGAAAAAAATGGGAAGGCTTCAAACCAGGGAGTTTGAACTGACACACAAACTCTTGTCCTGGAAACAGTGAAGTCTCTAGGCAAGGCAACCAAAGAAAATGAGTCTCTAAATGTTAAAACCAAATTATTCTCCCTTGTGTGGAGAAAGAGAATCAGAGGCCTAGAGTAAATACTTGAGTCATCTGATCCACATGCTATAGCCACAACTCATTAGGTATCTGCTAATTACAGCCTTGAAAGATGCCATGGAGTGACGCGAGGCCGCCCGAGATGCATTTAGTTAGTTTTACAACTGAGGAGCCTAAGAAACCCTTGGGTTCTTTCCTACAGTCAACAGCTCCAACAAAGAGCCTCTACATTAATTGCAACCACATCTTAGTCTATTTTTATATATGAGAAACACTACAATCCTTATAAAAGCCATAAAACAGCCATTATCATTTAGGGATGCTATTAATCAAGGCATTCTCCAGCATTTCCCTTCTCATCTCCCTTGCCTAGACTGCAGCCCAACAGCTCGCTGGTGTTTAAGTAGAAGCAGTGTGCAGCCCCTGCAGAGGGCTCAGCATTTTGATTCCAGTGCAGCAAACACTGAGCTGTGATCCCTCCTGCAAAGGGGACACCCTCGAGCGTCTGCGGGCAATGCCAGCACTGGGAATGACAAAAAAAGGATTGAAAATACCTACTTCATTCTCAAAGTACCCTTCTTATTGTTGCTGCTCTCCTCCACTCCTGGAAAATCAGTGCGATAAGCAGAAAAGGAGTAGAATTCTCTTTGCACTACCCCAAACAAGTTATTTCTGGGATTCTGGAATACTTAGATTGAAGAGCAAGAAAAATTTTCTAACATGAAGGGAAAGTGGTTGCCTAATGAGGTTGAAGGGTTGTCATTATTGGAGATATTTAAGGACAGCTCAGACAATCCTCTGTTAGAACATTAGTGTAAATATTCTTCTTTGGGGCAGCAGCATGGATTAAATGATATCCTATGATCCTTTCTGGCTGCCTGACTCTACAACTCACCAGGCTACCCACTTAGCATCTTAACAGTCTTCTGCATTATTTTTAAACTTGCAACCCCTGAAGAAGACCAAAATCTCAGTTACTTAGTAATAAAAAAGGAAAAACAAAAACCCCCAAAATAAATGGGATTGTTATATGATAGAGAAGTAAAAAATGAGGCCGAAGGCACAGATGATGAAAGAAGATACCAGAAGCACAGCAGTATAAATTAGGAGTTACAACAGCGATATAAATCCTGGGAGCAGGTTGGCAGAAACCTGACATTTTTCATTTCCCCACAAAGCCATTATGCACTTCTACTGAGCTAGAGAGTTAGGACTAGTTCTGCCAGTTTGAGTCATGGCCAGTTTAGGGGAGTTGCAAAGCTGCCCTGTTTTTGTGTCCACCTTCAGTCTCCAGCAGCTTATTTAGTGCTGCAGTAGAATGGCTTTGAAGCAGCACTCTGAAACATTTCTCAAGGTGTCTAGAAAACAGTCCAGTGTTAGAGGATAACTCTGGAGTGACTTATCTTGTTTATTCCTCTGTGACAAATAAAATAGGAACTGCTTAGGTCAGACTAGGGCAGTGCTTAAAGCTCCTGGTTTTTAGATGTGCTTCTGAGCCTTGTCACCAGCAGCCCAGGGCCAGGGCACCAGTCACCAGAAACCCAGAGCCAAAAGAGACCCTGGTCAGTCCTTCCCCCTGCCCAAAAGATCCAGCACACAGGAAGAGGATGGCTGAGTAGGGCCAGCCAGCAATAGCTTGGTTCTTCCATGTGGTTTTATGGGGCAATTACTTTTATTGCCTGGTAATTACTGAGGAAGGCTTAGACAAGTTGGCTCTCCAGCCCACATGGCAGCAGACTCGTGTGGGCACTCAGCTCACAAAAATCAGCTGCAACACTTAAGGTTTCCGAGGGGAAAGCCAGTCCATTACCAAAGTCAAGTTCAAGACTACAGTGTAGCCATACTTTGGTACCACCAGGAAAGGACATACCGACTCTCAAATTAAAATAAAAAATAAAAAAAAAAAAAAACAAACTTGCAAAAAGAAGCCAAAGAATAGGAAGAAGTGACAAGGTATGGGCTGCAAAGACAAAAAGTACAAAATAGCACCATCGCTGAAGCTGGTACAGCAAGGAGCGAAGAAGAGAAAAGAGAAGGCCTTAGAAAAGAAGAAATACTGAACATACTCATTTTTCAAAGGAAAAGCAGCACAACCCAGGGGTACAACTGCTGTTGTTTAAAGCATTGGGAATTATTCCCAAGGAAATAATTTTACATTTCCTCTTTCTTTACTGTTCCCTACTACGGTACTATCTTCTTCAGTGTGTGTGAGCAGAACGCATCAGTACTTGTAAGATCAGTTCTTCTCTGCAGAGGCACTGAATGTTTTTGAAACCATGGTGACCTAATGCCAGTTAGCTGGTTTTGATCCTCTATACCTGTTTTAAACTTCACCTAAATCTTAAAGCTAAAAAGATATCAAACAATCCTAAACCATGTGATAAACATATGCCATAGTCATATAATTTCCAATCTCTTCTGTTCATTCTTTGCAATAAAAAGGAAAAATTACAGTTGATTTACTGTGCACTCAAACTTTGGGAGAATCCAGGAACATGTGGGATCAGTTTAGGTCAGGATCAAAACCCCATAATTTAGCTGAGAGCAGCTTCCAAACTAAGCTCATATTTTTTGAGACTATATTTATAGTGCAGTTACTATGTGCCAGTACATCATTAAATGTCCTAAAAACTAAACCCACCCTATTCTTTATGGGGATGGTTTTTTCCCCTTAAGTCAGAAATATCCATTCCAGGATGATTCTGGACGGGGAGAGAGAGGACTGACTCGGATTTCCACCACTCCATTTGTGATACAAAGCTGTCTCTCGTGGGCTGCTCTGTGTGTCTGACACAGATAATGATGCAGTTCTCAAACATTCTGGTTTCTGTGCTGGGTGTTCAACCACACGGTTCTGTTTCAAAGCCTGATTATTTCCGATCCCGCCGCATTAAAGCTGCAAACCGAGAAGAGTGTTGTGCAGGAGACAAATTGGACAGGCATCAGAGGCCTTAGTTTAACACACTTACCAGAGGAGTGGTGTGTTTGATGAGTGTTCAGAGCTGAGAACGTCTCCTTATCACCCAAAAGTCGGTGTGTGCAGGGGGAGGCCTGGGGAGAGCAGTGCTGCCTGCAAAAGCAGCCAGCTGGGTCGGTATCTCTCCCCAACAACAGCAGGACCTGCTGAGCTCAGGAAGCTGGGCAGGAACGAGTGAAGTCATGTCACAGACTAAATCAAGAGTCTACAGCTGTTGCAACATCCACAAACTTATTCCAAACACAAAACATGAGCTGAAAATGAGCTATTTCAAAACTATTCTTCTCCCCCCACCACTCCTTTTACCACTTGAATGTGTGCAGAAGATATAGTTTTGAATATTAGATGTTTTTCTAACAAGAAAATAACAGAGACAGAAATAAATGCCCTGGGATTTAGGGAGCCAGTGCGCACACAGTGGCAGGAAACACTGCCAGGTTACTATAAGCATTCATGAAATGGTCTCTAATGTCTGACTGGAAAGCACTGCAGTGTTCAGTGGGATGGACTGAAAGGCAGCCAACATGGCAAACAGCTCGGGTGCTTCCACACCAATAATTACCTTTATCAAACTTTAACTACTGATGTCAAAACATCTTCAGCTTCCAGCCATGAAATGGGCAAAAGACATACAAGTTTGCTACTTCATAGTAACATATGTTCGGTCTCAGGAGGTTAAACACTCATCTGTTTCTGAAGTGTGTTAAAAACTTTAAAAAAACAAACCCACAACCTTTTTTTCCCTGTCCATGCTGGTGAAACATGTCAGCCTGCACACAAATTATGGCTTTGCAGGACTTCTTATCTCTGCTATTTCTCATGATATAATGGCTCCAGTGTAAAACAGAGTTTTAAGCATGTATAACAAAACTGAGCCTTCAATCAACGTGGGTTTGTTGACAGGAGGAAAAAGGCCTGGACACACAGATAACATTTGGGCTGAAGAGAAGTTGAGATTGCTGTGACACAGACAGCAAAGGGACAGAAATCTTGTTGCTTCCCAGAGACAAAGATAAATAAGGACTAGATTTTTAACTTCACTTTCAAACTCTGACTTCAGGCCCATAAAAACAGTTACAGTGTAAATTATTCTGTGAAGACAGACAAACCTGAAGTGAAGAACAATCCTCTCACCTGCTACTGATTAAAAGAAGGGGCTGTACAACCCCACCACATCCTTAGTGACTTTAAGGCATCAGCAGGTACTTTTGTCAGTGTAGCTTTTCAACCTTAGCATTGAGAATCCCAGCAAATTAAATAAACTAAATCTGCCAATGATCCTATAGCACCTTTTTTTTTTTTAATTAACGCAGCCAGTAAGGCAAAAAAAATCAAACCCAAACCCACAAATCCACCATTTCACTACAGAGCTATAATGTATTAAATCACAGATATGAGTCAACAACACCATGCTGCTGGGAAAAAATGGAAAACCGTCCTGGGAAAAATAAACAAGCGTCATCTGTAGAACACATGGTGTAACACTCCCACTTGGCTCGGTGGTGGGAAGCAGGCGGCTCAGCTGTGGGCACCGCCATCCCAGGAGGATGCGGACACAACAGGAAAAACCTGGAGAACAGGAACAAGGACACTGAGGGGTGTGGGAAGGAGGTTATTAGAACAGGCTGAAGGCTTAGGGCTGTTTGTTGGAAGGGCAGAGCCCTCTGTGTGGTGGTCTCTGGACATGGGAGGAGCGGTCGGGAGGAGGGGAAGAGTTCTCTCCACATCCCCAGGCCCTCGGACGGCATTAAGGTCACTGGGGAGCAGGAATGTCAGAGATAAGACCAAAACAAGCCCCCCTGCTGTGATTTCCAGTGTACCAGGGATTATAAATTTGTGCAATACAATTTGGCTGCTTTCTGACAAGTCCCCCCCGACCTTGCTGGCCAATGCATTCCCTGGACACACGCAAGTGTTTGCTCTAAGCTGCAAGAGTGCTCAGCACTTCCTTCTGGTGCCCACCTGTCCCTTGCTTTCCAGCTGCTCCACTTTGATCTCCCTCCTTTCTGTGTTTCCTGGGAATGCCTCATCAGTGGTCGATGTGGAAAATGTGCTGGGTTCCCTTGGCTGGCTCACAAACACTTCACCAGCAGCAGGTAAAGAAACAGGAACAACCTGGTAGTTTCCACGGGTTTCACAAAAGATGTGCTGAAAATCAAACCAACAATTCGGTAAAAATAAGTGGGAGGAACTGAAAGGACTTTCTTTGTGCTTGCAAGCACAGCAGTGCTATTTTTAAAGAATTATTTCTTCAGTTTAATTTTTTTAAATAGCAATGTTGCATTCAAACGTTACTGTGCGAAGTTAAAATGCTTCCAAGCATCAGTATTCACTTGAGGCACCACCATTCCCATCTGAAATTTGAGGGAGATAGAGGGAGTGGGGGTAGGGAGAGAAAGAGAAAAATCTTTTTTTCAGTATTACGTGTTGATAAATCCAAAAATAGAAACATTTTCCAAGCAAATTTTCTACGTGCAAGTATCCCAGTTTCCCAGCAACTCTGTTGGTGCTATAATGTTGACTTGGTGGGAAAGCAGCTCTGGACAAGAAACTAAGAGCTTTCTTGGAGTCTATTCATAACCCTGCATTTGCATTTGATAAATTGCTTCTTTGTTACAGCAACTCCCCTTTAACGTGATGATTGATTATTCTTGTTTTACACAAAAAATATTTGGTTTAAAATGCTAATCTTTCAGCATTTTCTGTACCATCAGGTCAAAAGTTCTGTCAAAATGTTCCAAAACTTCCAGGAAGTTGTTTAGGTATTTTTCTCAATTAAAAACCATTTTACATAGGCTAAGTTTCTCTATATTTTATATAAAACCAGCACTAATTTTTATAGCCTGGTTTTAATAGGTTTAAAACAAAATATTTAATTATCTAGACTGTTATTTAAAGCCAAAAGAAGTTGAGTTATAACACTGTTGTAGCCATAGCAAGAAATGAAAAATTTTGCCTGGTGTTTTCAATTTATATTCCAAATATTTGTCAATTCCCAAAACTGCATTCACAATTCCTTGAAAGAAAAGCACAGGATCCAAGTTTCTCCTAATTTATGCAGTCGTAATTTTTTTTGACATAATGGAGTTATTCATTCAGCGTGAGCAGGACCACACTCTGAGCAAGCTGGACCTTAAAGATACATATTCCAACCAAGCTGATGCCAAGGGGAGTGCTTCCTTAGGACTCTTTAGCAGGAATTCACCCAGGCAATCCCTCTGCCACAGCTTCATCAGCCTTTTAGGGACAGCAGTGCAAGATTCCTCCAGAATTCGGAGCTACCCCAGCAAGTGAGGTGAGCTAGTCAGGCAGAGATTTAGTTTCTGCCACCATCCAAAAAAAGAAGTTTTTATCGTCATTGTACTTCTGGTGAGGGGCCCAACACAGCCCAGCCCTGAGGTATTTAATAAAGAGTGGCCTCCTGTCACCTCCTCTGCAGGCCCATCCAAGCAATGCCTTGGGAACTGGGCACACAGCAATCAGCATCCACCTGCAGCTTGAGAAACACCCAGCCCACACATGCTCTGCTCCTCTGCATCCTCTGCTACTTCAAGTTCAGCTTTTCCCCAAGCACTCTGTAAAAATTTTCTCCACTTAACCTCAAATTGCCTTTCTCCCCTGCTCACAACTGGAGCTGAAATGAAAAAAATAAGCTTGGCTTGTCTTGGAGCGTCAAGAAATAAAACCAGCTTTGAAACAACTGCAGAACAGCAGAAGCAGGTTTCAGTGGGACTTCTAATGTGCTGCGAATTACACTCGTGCTTAATTAAATTACCTTGCTGACTCAGAGCCTAAATTAATGGGAGATACACTCTTCAGTGCTTATTTGGCTTGGGTAATTAAAGAAAGTAACAAAATGAGATTTTAGATCGAATGTAAATGGAAGTTTCAGTAATTAAGTATTTCTTTATTCCAGCACCTGCCGTGGCTGTTTGGGATATAGCAAATGTAGGAATAGGTGAACAAATTTCTTCAGCTGCTTCCTCTGCTACAGAAACCAAATGGGGGAATTCTTAAGAACCAATCCTGCCTCATCCTGATCCATTTGTAAATATTTTCTTGCAAGCCAATAAACACTTTCTTAGTCTCCTTTGTACCCCCTGGTTCTGGGTTCCATTTGAAGCCAACAAGTGGGAGCACGAGCTATTTACTTATTTACTTTAAGCCTGGAAAACCAGGAGAGACTTTGAAAAGGTTGGTTTTTTCTTGAGAAGGGGATGAAATTTCACACTGGCTCTTATTGAAACCAGTTCCCATATCCCAGGCTCTTCCTCTCACAACCCCATCTCTCCCCCACCCACATAATTTGCCCATTTCTGCATCAAATCAGGTATAATAAATCCTATTCCCTAAAGACGAGAACCTATTTCCTCTCCATCGCACGAGGGCAGCTCTACCCGGGGCTGTGAAATGGCACCGGGGCAGTGGAGGATATGCTTTGGAGCACTGATTTGAATTAAACTGGCATTGAAACTAAAGCCCCCTGAACAGAGTTTCTTTTTGCAGCACTAATAAAATCTGCGTTCTTGGCAGCAGGGCCCAAAATCTGGCTGGTGCACTGAAAGCAGAAACCCTTCCCCTGGCTGGGGTCGCCCCTTTCCTTCCCTGGGCTGCCAAGAACCACAGGTCCCTGCTGGAGGGGAACACCCATCACAGCCTCTCCTGGTTTAGGGATACCAATTCATCTGTCCCTGTCCTCAGCTGACGGAAAAAAAAATGTATCTGGACAGAAATGAGCGAATGCGGAAAAAAAATGCTGGTAAAGTCATGAATTTTTCCAGGTTTTTGTTTTGATGCATAAGCTTAAGTCTCCAAGAAACCTTTCTGCAAGTTAAGATGGAACTGCAAACGTGATAAACTGAGCTCTGTGCTTTGCTGGAATAACCAAAATCTATGGACCACACTCACTTCCACTGGAGGAGACTGAGTCAGTTCAGCAGCTTTCTATACCAAGTTGTTATTAATGTTTCTTTGTTGTCACCTGGATTTATCATCCAGTGTGTCCAAGTAATTCTGAAATCCATCTTTGTGCAACGGCACCTTGTACATTATTTCTAGTGAGACACCAGTGAGTCTCCCCATAAAGACCAGCCCCATAAAGCAGCCTCTGCTCTCCCACAGGACACAAAGAGGAATGAAAACCCATTCAAAGGGAATCTCGAAACTCTACAGCAGCGAGTCACCCAAGGAAAAAGCTCGTGATGATTTGAAGAGCCTCTCAAGTTTCCTGCAGCATGGCATCCGCCATCCTGCTGGGAGCTCCTTGTTCCCCCAGATGCCCCATTACTCATGGTGCTATATTGTTATGGTCTTCTACAAGCAGCACTGGCAATGTCAGCAAATAAACTATGGAAGCCCAAATTAGTTTCCCTTCAAGATCTAGGAGGGGAAACATTGCCACCGAGGGATCGTTGTCTATTGTACCTTGCCTTTGCAAGGATTTCATTGGGAAAAGCACAGGTGTTGAAGAGAAAGTTAAAAACACAAAAAGAGGACCCCAGGGCTGTTTTATCTGGTTTGCTATTCCTGGTATTCTGCTGTCAAGTCTCTCATCGCTATCTGGAAACTTTCTAGAATTATTGGAGTGATATAACACCTTCTTCTAAACTTGAAATCTCTTCAGCCTGCAAACAACCCTGAAGGGCCATACCTGCCCTGCTGCTTCCTGTCCCAAGGAAAACTTTTCAGTGCCTGGCCTTTCAATCACACTGCCATCCCATGTGTCCACAGCCCTGTCCTGGATTAGCCCTTGGTCTCCCAAACCAGCAAGAGAATCCACTCAGCGCCAGGATAAACCCCTTTGTTCAGGTAACATTACCAGCTTGGCAATCGCCT